GGTCCAGCAAGCAGGAATGCAGTGCGTGGATGCGTTTAAAATAACTTTAAACCCAGCTTTTCAAACAAAAGTATCTGCAATGAATTTTAAAAAAAAAATAAATACCAAAGTAGCTACAGTAGTGCAATATTCAGTTGTAGACTACAAATTACAGTGGTGTTTCAATTAGTTTCTGAATTAGCCCAACTGAGAGTGGGTTGCAAGGTTTTCTTCCAAAACACGAATGCTGGGGAACCAATGGGTTTTCCCCTGGGCATGTCTGTTGGAGCCTGCCCCAACAGCCATCAGGTGCCTGATGTTTCCTTACATACAGGGCTAAAAGTATGTTAAATTCATATAGTGCACTTTCTACTGTCACACAAAAATACTCCTCTCGGACCAGCCCAACGATCAGCCCAGCACCCACTCCAGTATCCTTTTTCCTACAACAGCTTACCAGGGGAAAAGCTTCAGCATCTTTGTGGCTGCAGCTTCATGGTTAATAACCCTTGCAGGATTTTATTTTTTTTTGGATGTGGTTTTGTAATTGGTTTTGATCTCATTTATTCTTGTGACAAATAGACTATCCCATGACTATGAATTGCAGTCTGCTGTGTGAAATGTTTGTTTTAATTATGTTACCTCAGATAATTTTATCCCAAATTCCCTGCTTCCAGAAGGAAGGCATTGTCGAAGCAATGACTGTTTCCTCCCTTCTTTGTGTCATTTGTTATGGAATAGGCCACTATCCCATCTGCCCTCAGTGATCTCTTTTCCAGGAGACAGGGGCCCAGCACACAGTCTTTTTTCACAGGGAAACTATTCCTTTCCTTTCACCATTCCTGATTTTTTTAACTTCTGTTTTATCCTTTTAGAGTGAGAGGGATCATATAATGATGCTTTCTCTTTGGTTTCCTGTCCCTACTTCCAAATCCTCTATTTGCCTTTTTTTTTTTTTTTCCTAGACTATTACAATCTTTGAGTTGAATTATGCAAAATAACGCCACACGCTTATTCCTGACTGTTACCAGCTAATTTAAAATCTGTTATTGAATATGCACCATCTGGGGGGCTCTTTGCAATTGTGCGTTATTTGGATTTATCAATGTCAAATTGCAGCTGCCAACTTATCAGCCCATCACTGAGTGTCCAGGGCTCCGTCAGTCACTGCTCGTGGCTGGTTTTGCTTTGACTGCCCTGACTCAGTGAACAGCTGCTCACCTCCCTGGGGGAGACCACCTGAATGAAGTTGGTTCAGTTCCTTCAAATCCCAAAAGCCATTGGTGCCAGTGAGTACTGGTTGTCTTTATTTAACTCAGTCACTTTTACCTCAGTTTAATTAAAGCAAAGCAAACATGTGGGGAAGCAAGTAACCACACCTCAGACCAAGTGGCTGCTTGGTATAACTTGGTACGTGCAATCACTGTGCATTCAGAAATTGTCCACGACATGCGGAAACTTTAACAGGGCACACTCTAAAGCAGTTTGAATTGGTTCATTACAATGTGTATTATTCAAATTCCTGTCCACCAAGGCTTACTTTTGCATATTTCCTTGATGAAATTTGTACAGCTGCCTAAGCCTTAACTGTCCTGTGAGCATTGAAAAGCGAGTTATTTGTCTCCGAGGTGTGACTGAGCTGTCCTTTGCCTCCCAGCTGCCTGTGAGGGTTCCCGTGGGTAGCACTGATGTCGAACTCCCCAGGAGGGCTCCTCGGGTTTGGGGTGCAGCTGGCATGGCCAGGAGGGAAGTGCCTGCACCTGGGGAGGAGGTGGTGCCCCCTCCCCTGCAGCTGGGGAGCACAGCTGGAGCCCCCAGCAATCAGGGCGGCAGCCAATGTAAGAGGAGCAGAGGGCAGGGAGGCCCTTTCTAGGGGCTGTGGGATGCCACATCTGTGTTTCTACCTGAAGGTACTCAATAAATATTTTGTTTTTCCTTAAGCTGGTGGTGGTTTTTTGTTTATTGCTGTTTTATTTGCAAACAGTGAGTTTTGAAGTCTTGCTTCCTATTCTTTCTGTAGCGCTTTCCTGCATTATTACTTCTTCTCTAAGTTCTGCTGGTTAAAATCAAGTGGAGCATAAGTATGTCTGGTTCCTTGGAAGTTTATTGAGTTGTACCTTCTTGTTGTGTTGCAAAACTGTAAGGAAACCAAATGAAAAGTTGGCTGGAGTTACGTTTCCTATGTTTCCTGCTTACATGCTCACAAATTGTGTGAGAGAAAACTTTCTTACGGTGATGGGACATTCTAGCTTCTGTTCTCAGCTGGTGAAAAGGAAGCGAGAATACAAAAAAAAAAATAAAAAAATCTTTGGCTTGCACCCTACTTGACTTAAAATATCTATGAAGTTTTTGGCTATGATTTGCTTTCCCTCCAGGCATGGGTTTTGGTTGGGTTAGCTGGGCATGCCATTTTTACCTTTTACGAAGTAAAAAAAGGGAAAAGGTCATTGAGAATTTTTATTTAGCTAAGCTCATAGTATAGAAGTAAAGTCTCTGAAGAATTCCCAGGTTTTCTGCTGCCTTTGTGGTCTCCTCATTAGCCATGAGCCATGTACCTGGGCAGTGCTTTTAAGCAGGGGTGGCTGATGGTGCTCTGTTCTCTTGCAGGGCAGTGTTGGCTGTTTCTGCTCACCTGGGCTGCAAATCAGGGACGCTCTAACTCTTCGTGGATTGTGGTTGCCTCTGCTTCAGCCGTGGCCCTTTGGAAAAAGATCCAATGAACTGACTGAGGTAGGTGTTTCTCAGCGTGTTCAGTTACTAAAAACATCTCCTGAAGTTTGTGGAAGGATTGTGAGAGGTGTTTATCTATTTCATTTAAGGAGGTTTATCAGTAGATTGTATCAAGACCAATTTTCTGGTTTTTCTTATTGTCTGAAGTGTTTTTGAAATAAGGATGGCGAGGAAGAGCGATTGTGTTACTGTCTGTAGAACAGAGCTGCTGGGTGAGTAGGTGTGGGCCCAATCGCTAGTGCTATTGTGACAGAAGAGTTCAAATGATCTGTTTCTCTAAGTTGGGAAGGTGAATACTAGAAAAAAGCAAAGTTGAATGTTGTATTCTATTTTTTTCAGGATCACAAATTATGTACTACCTGCTCCTCAGGAGTAAGGATTTTATATGTTCTTGCAGTTAGGAGGTTTCTTTAGTTCTTGATTCCTTAGTGGAATGACCTGACTGTTAGCATTCAGCCCTCGGTGCTCCAGGTTCCTCTCTTGCCAGTGTTTCTTGTGTACGTCCTTCTTCAGGTGGTTATGGAGAAAAATTGAGCCTTTTAAACTAGTTTGACTTGTGTTATATGACAGTGAATGATTCACGTATTGGGGCTTTGAGCAAGACTATATAAGTGTGACATAGGGAGTGCTTGTCCTCCCTACCTGGGATTTAAGGTCTAGTTCATACGCCTGCTAATATACTGGGAGGATCCGAGATGGGGCTTTTGATGGGATGTGACTAACATTAAGAATAGTAACCTTGGTGTAATGTTTAAATTGTTTTGTCCATGAACAATAATGAAACAGCTTTTTATTTCAAAGTATCAACGTTGTATGCAAGTCCTGTTATGAAATCCCTGTTACTTTTCTTAAAGTGGGGGTTATTTGGCTCTTCTGTTATGAGCAGGGTATTGGGTTGTCTCTTGACCTCATTCACACAGAGCAGGAAGGTGAAGTGCTTGGCAATGAAAAACGAGGGAAAAGTGCTTTGATCATTTTTGTCGATGCCATATTGTTTGTGTTAATTTATCTTTGTTTTAAATATGACAAAGTTATTTCTTTGAGGAATCATAGAAAATGTGGCAAGAGGGAGCTAGGACTTTGCAGTTGGTCTGCTCAGCATTTCTTCTGGTCTCAGTGGAACGTTAAATCTGAGGTGTTGGCATTCGGGGAGCCCTCAGCTGTTCTGGTGGAAATCTTGGCTTTGTGGCTGGTGTTTGCGATGAGAACAGTACTATTGGCGAGCTTTATACTGAAGAATGAGGTTATGTTTTTCAAAAGATAATTTAACTAGCTCTGAATTTGTGCTTTTCCTTTCTATGGGGCTCAGCTAGGACGATGTCTTTCATCGTTTGATGAAACAGTCACTTTTTTCACGGCTTCATAATGGCACAATTCCTTGGCCAACCTCTCCCCCCGGCTATACCCACACATATTTTCTTGCTCTCTCTCATGCAGGCTAAATGAGAAAAGCACTCAGATCTTCCCAGAAACCAGGCTTGCTATGTAATATAAATAGGGTCACTGTGATATAGAACTTTAAATATCAACCATGTACCATGTTTGTAGGGATGATCAGGTCTAGAAGAACTGTGTGCTGGTGTGTCTATTAAAAATCTTCTGTTTGGTTTAAATGAAGGGGATCTCTGCTATTAGGGGCAGGACACTTAAAGCGCTAAGTGAATTTCATGACAACCTTACTTTAACTTCCAAACACAACAGTATTGGCAGTCTCAATAGAAAAACTGCTTGCCATTGAACTTTGGGGATGTAAGAAGACCACTGCTCATAGGCATCGAGCATTTATTAGGTCTAGTTCTTGCCAGCTTCTGGTGCTCACAAAGAATGAATTAGTTCCCATCCCCTAAATTTTAAGTGATATAGCTTAATAACTTTTAAAAATGATGAATGTTATTCTTCACTGTAGCAACTTTTTGGTGCCTCAGCATTCCTATCCACCTATTCAGGATAGAAGTGTGCTTTGATTATAGGAGGTTTTTCCTTCAGGAAAAAATGCTAGATGATACCCGGCTGCTATAAACCTAAGAACCGGCCCAATCAATCCAAGTTGCTCTACAGCAGAGGAGAGGTTGGGTGAAGCTCTCTCACCCAGGATGTGACCAGGCTTGTTACAGATTAGACTCAGGTGCAATGGAGAAACTCATTTTCATGTGGTCTGGGTGATGGTTATGCTAGGGCAGGTTTGCACTGTGAACCCCGGGCTGGGGCTGGCCAGTCCATACCCAGGAATCCAACGCAGCTGGTAGTAAAACTTCAAAGCAAGGAACTCCCAAGAAAACCATAACACTCTCTTGTTGGGTTTTTTTGCAGTACTTTAATACAGCATTAAAATGCTAGAATACTAGAGGAAAGCTTTATACTATCCAGCAAATAAGGCACATGTCGGAATGCCATTTTATGGACAATCCACAACAGAGGTTTTACAGTCTCTTTAGCGACACAGCCACCAGATGAGCAAGCTGTCATCTTGATTGCTGATGCAGGAACTGGTACCTCTGAGGCCTTTGTCCATAGGTTTTGTTTGTTTTAGCTGTACAAGTTTATTAACAGTTACAGAAAAAGAAATTATACAAATCGTCAACTGAATCTGACAAGGTCAGTGGGTACAGCTAAACAAATGTAATAATAATTAGGTTAATTTTTTTAAAGCTGAAGAAATTCATAAGATACAGTGTTAGTTTTAGCACTAGTACACAACGCAGTGAGTGCTGTACTAAATAACCTTTTAAAGGAAACAAGAATCCAGTACAGGGTTGGGCAGACCTTCCATTTTAGCATGGTAAAATATCAAACTAAAAACCCAATCCTTCATAATATAATCAAACTACATGAAATGTAAAGTGTAAAAATGCTTCAAATACGTGCACATGCATATTCTATATTGCTATGAGTTCTAATTAAAATAAACATAACCCCCTACAATAATCTACGTCAATCCTTTTCTCTTACATCCTCTGATTGATATTATTGCTGTAGCCGATACTGCATAGCTGAGCTCACAGTCTGCAAAGAGTTGTGAAAGTCAAGTTGTCAAACAGCGTCCCAACCAACTCTCTTCCCCTCTGGTGACGGGAAAGGAAAGAACCACCATCTGAAACCCAGCGCTTGTGCTTCGGAGTTTCTGAAAGCCGAGTCTCGACGGTGCTTTCAGCATCTTCTGTGTCTCTCACAAGGCCATAAAGTGACAGTAATACTGTTATTCGCTCCTCACTCGCTATATGTCTAGTGATAGCTTTTTCTAGCAATCCTTCCCCAAATACACATAAATAAACTGTATAAGCATTTTCATATAAGTCTAAGCACTTGAATAATATATTGGTTACTTAATACTGATATTTTCATCCAAGGATAACAAAAACAATATGGCTTAAAGAATTGCAAGGTTTTTTGTCAGAATTATGTACCAACTTTCATATAATATTTTATGTAGACAATATTTCCTTCTTAATGTAGTTCTGTTGCATACTTTATACAGACAAAAGCATTGTTAAAAAAAAAAAAGTAAATTACTTCCATAAATATTTTCTTGAGGATACATCCTTAGTTCTGCAAAATACTTAAGAAAACTCTTACCTCTGTTAGTATCCTAGTTGAGAGGAAGGCCCTTCTGAAAGCTTCCAAATTGTAAAAACTTTTCCCAAAAAACAAACAATACTTTTTTAAAAAGGCCCTCAAATATATACAAAAAAAGTTACTGCAAAGAGTTTCCAGATAAGATAACAATTCAGTATTACAAGAAATATTTGTAACCATTCAAAAATTTTAACATCTAAAAAGGTTTCCAAAATACACACATAGTATTAAAAAAAAAAATTGAAAGAAACTCTATGTCAAGTATAACTCAAGATAAATACACATCTGCAAGTAAAACTGTAAAATACTTCATACAGGGGTAAACATTTATATCAATCATCTATAGCTAGTAACTGCACACGATTGTCCCTTTGAAATTCATCCTAGAAACACAAACCATCATCCCTATATCTAAGATCTCAAACAGCCCTCTGAGCACTTCAGCAATAGAGCAAACTGAATGGACAGCAGTGGTTTTGCAGATAGGAAAGAGATACGGGTTGAAGCCCAATCAGGAGTGGAGTCATATCTTAAAGAATGGGTTTTGTATGGGGATAGTTCCGTCACATTTTAAAATATGTTGGCAAAGGCAAGTGGAAAATGTATGTCAATTCACTTAACTTGAAAAACACATGTTGATGATTTATTGCATACTGTTCAGCGGACAACTCTTAGGGTCCATACTAGGAAAAAAAATATTCTACGTGACTGCAGGGCAAAGAGAAATAATCTATGAATTTTGACATTTCCAAAAGCTTTTAACTTTCAAAGTTTTACATAGTTTTATTTTTGGAGTAACTGCATCACAGGTATGCAACCCATGTATAATCTAAATTTCGTGTTATATAAAAAGGTAAAATATAGAGAATACTTCTCGGTATAAGGCTTCTCAGACATACGTAACTTCACATTTTTAGTTTACAAACTAAGTCCCATATAATGGGGAACTTCAAAATACACCTATTTTCAGAAATAATATATACTCTTGTGTATTTATCTGAAATTAAAAAGCAACTTTGAGACAAAAAGGCCTCAAACTTTGCTTGTGTGGCATCATTTTATGTCCGTGGTAGCAGCAGTAGAAACTGGCTAAAATGGGGCCAACCTTTAAATTACAGGGATTTTTCTTCATCACCATTAAATTAAATATTTGTAACAACTTCATTGGAGCCGCATCAAGTTAAAGCAGCTAAAAACCTACACCACGCATTTCAAATCACTGATACTTTTCTCCAGAGCAGTGCCAACGCCAAGGACAAATTCTGTGTGAAATGTTCTGACCAACTCAGGAAAGAAATTGTGTTAAGTTTTTTTTTTTTTTCAGAAATAAATGAAAACTTAAAAACCTCCAAAGAGTGAGGAGGAAAGAAAAAACCTAAACAAAACCAACAACAAAAGCCCAAACCAAAGCAGTGTGTGCTGGATGGATTGGTAGGCAGGCAACAGCAAGAATATAAGGTTAAAAATCAAGTTTGCCAAATAAATGCGGAGAGCCATATTTCTCCAAAGAATACTTAAGTTGAGAAGGCCTGTATTGATTAAAATCTTTCGTTACTAATATCTGCTTCGCTTCTGGTAATACTGTCTAAAAATTAATTCAAGGATTACTAGCTGATGCTCTAAATGCAGAGCTGGTTAAAGAGAACATCAGAAAGCATTTAGAAAAATCTAAGAGGTAAATGTAAATCAATTCATCCTCTTTACAGTCAAAAATCTATATTTTTAAGGGTTTTCCAAATTGGAAAGGGTTAGTTAGGTCCTTAGGTGAATTACCTTATGGGGGAGAAGGAAAAAAAATATTGTATTACACTTTTTTAAAAATATCAAAATCCAGCAATTTCCCTCTGTGGCATTAACTAAAAGCCAATGGTCATAAACTATTGTACATCACATATGCAGATGTGTTTTTCCACCAAGGCACAAACTATATACAGATGACCGTGGAGAAAATGCCCAGGGCCAAATGCTATAATCCTACAAGGAAACCTCACACAGGGAAGGACAGAGGAACGTTCTCCCCCAGGTGAGCTTGGTGCTGCAGCCTTCCCCAGGCACCAGCTCTTTGGGCAGAGGAGGCTTCAGCCCTGTGCCATGAGGAGAGAAGACAAGGGGATGCCCCACAGGGCTGGGGGGAACCAGAGTCCAGCCCCACTTTTGGCAGGGGTGGCATGGCAAGCGGGCTGCTTCCAGCCATGGGGTGGCCAGGGCCTGATGGCAACAGCATCCCGCATGGGGACAGGTTTGTGGTGTCCCAGTTAGGCAGTACAAACTACGGCAGTGTTGCTTCTCACTTGTCCACACGTTTTGTTCTTTATCTGCTTTACCCCAATGTTAGTGCAGGGGAGAATCTGTTCTCCTCTTTATTTTAAATACGCTGACTATTACTTAAACACTTTATATGTCTACTGCCTAGGAAAATATCAGTAATATAAATATTGAACTCTTATAAGTATGCTCTTAAGAATTATTACTCTACACCTATAGACATAGTGTTAAAGTCGATCATGTGTATTTTTTAGTACAACCTAAAAATCCATAAGCTAAAGGCATTGTCATGCGGTGTTGAATCTGGATAAAGAATTTTTAACAGGGCACTGTCATGAAAATAGCAACAATTGCATATAAAGGTCTTTGTTCAGAACCTGACCATGTGCTGTATATTAATATAGCTATATCAAGGGATGCATATTTTACTGATCTAGTGGTTATCATAAGAGGGAAATTATTTCAATGCAGAAAGAATGGTTGATAGCAACATCTTAATTTCAGAGAAAAAATAAAATAACATTTTCCCTTATCTTCATTTAAGGGGGTTTCTCTACCTGTCCTTTAGCCAGCTGCGAAATATTGAGGTGATTGTTTTGTTCATATGCTAAGTGCTCAAGAGAAAAAATAGATCTGGCTTTAGTATGTGGCTCTTTCGATATTATTTGTGCTTGAAACAAAATACTAAGATTAATACTAGAGGCTGAACTTTGAAAATCCACCCCTGTGTATTTTCTTATTTGTATGGGTAGATTAGTATCTTTGTTTAGAGAACTTGTCTCTAAGGTAATTTCTGAGTCTGTGCAAAAGAATGTTTCCATTTGAAAATGCTCAAGCTGCATATCTTCACTGAGGCAACTGAACGGTTGTTAGTGTTAACCTTCAATAATATTATTTTCAGCTATTTTAGCTGATGGAATTGCCGACTGGGCAAAACTAGTTTTGAAGTGATTAATTTAGTTAATACTATTTTAGCGTTGCATAGCACTTCTCATCCAGTGATGTCAAAACGCTAATAGATATTAAGCCTCACAACTCCCTGTGAGGTAGGTATGCTAAAGTATTATTATCCCCATTTTGCAGTTGGGGAAACTGAGGTCCAGAAGGACCTTGTGACCTGCCCAAAATCAGGGAGCTAATGGAAGAGCTGTGGTCAGAAGCCAGGAGTCCCAATGTTTATCCGTCATTCCGACCAGTAGGCTGGGTCCCTTGGGCCACCCATAAATAATGAAGTTTGTGAGATATGTTTATGACACTACCACCAGAATAAGCAGAAACAATTTTCTCCTGCTTATAGCAAAGCAGGGAAAAGGCAAAAGTTTCACCCCTAGAGCAAATTCGTAAAGAGCTTCACATTTCCTATACTAATGCTCACTGTAAGTTTTCAATTTGCTTTACAAGAGCTTGACTGTACATACTGGTAACATCCTGCTATAACTTGGCACAAAACACCCTCTGTCTTAGCGTTATGGAATTAATCCTCAAAACAAATTTAATTCACATCAAGGTATTTAGGATTTAAAGTATTTCCGCTAAATATCATTCACGCAAATCAATGTCTCTAAAGGAAACTTCAGAAAAACAGAAACTGTTGATTAAAAACAAAAAGCAACCAACCAAACATTATCCCTTTTTTAGTGAATAATGCAAATGAATTGCTTGTTGTGTCCTTCTGCCAATGTACTCTTATGTAGACATACAAACAGATACTGTCTCGAGGTACTTTCAGTTCATGCTACTTCCCAATCCCTGATGAGATACTTCTTTGCAGCAGGATGTCCCTGCACAAAGTTTTACCTGAAATGGGACAATGAAATATAACTCCTACATTTCTCCTCAGGTATGTAGGTGTTTCAGGAAGACATAAAGAGGGAAGGCTATATAGAGTGTTCTCTATGCCTTAAAACACCCCTATGGCTAAGAAGTTTTATATTATAACAAATTTGTACAGTAGAAAACAGGACATAAAAATATTTCCAGAAAGTGGCTTTAAAACTACTATAAATAGTAAGTTTGGCTAATCTTTCAATTAAGGGGTTCGGGGACAATTGTAAGTATTCTTATCCCCTCTTATTCACAGTAAATTTAGTGTGCTTGTGGCCTAATGAACAGCCCATACACATACAAGGACCATTTCAATGGGATTATATGACAAGAGAAGGATCTGTTAGCTGCACAAGCCAATTTTGTGTCCTCCAAAAACCTCTTGGAATCCTTCCTGATGCTCTGGGTCCCATTATGGCAATCCCTTTCTACCGAACCCACGCTCTCAAACAATTATTCACTTTTTTTTTTTTTTGCCACATCCTGCAAAAATGACTTTGCCTAAGCCCTGCCCGAGTGATGGTAACAAATAGAAAAAGTCCAAGAAAGAAGCAGCACAAAACTCTCAGACTTTCTAAAACTGGGATTAGAAAATAAGTTTCCGTCTTTTATGCTGTGGCTTCTTCCATCTTCCTTTGTCTTGTCATATAATAGGAATAGCGTTCGTGTTGTGGGTGAGTGCTTACGACTAGTGGCCCCACAGTTATTCAACCTCGGCAAAAGCCATACATATAACACACATTCCTTGTGAATACTATACCTTGCCTATTGAATAGTACTTCATTTCACCTGGCCATGATATAGGGTCTGTGTAAACAATCAGCAGAACCTGCAACCCTGGTTCTGTTGTGAACACTGTCAGTAATGCTTTATATATGTGTGTTGTACATATATATATATATATAAACTCACATATATATGTATGCATACAAATCAGTCCTGTAAATACCTGTTGCATGCGTGTGCATGCACAGGAGAAATGTTACATTCTAGTAATGGTAAGGCATATTATTAGACAGGCAATATTGGCAATTATTTTAGCTTTTATCTTGATTTGTTGTGTTGCTGTTGATCACGTGCTGCCAGAGGATCTTTAAGGATGATGGGGATGGGAAGAGGCCACTTGGAAGGTTTATTGCACACGGCGGCAGTAGTAGCCCAAAACTTTGCACTTCTCACACAGATGCTGGGGATGTTCTTTGCTCTGATCCGAAACATCCAGGCCGTCCGGCTTTTCCAGGGGTCTCTGCAGTGAAGGAGAGGAAATCGGATTAGATCCAAGGTTTGCTCACTGGTACTCTTCACTGTGCATGTGAAGCCTACTTTTATGCTTAACTGAGCTTTCTCCAAGAACTTATAAAGTTACTGTATTTTTTTCCTGAAGGGTTGAAATATTTTTTCATCTCTACATTTGTTCCGAGTGGCCTCATGACTTAATGTCATTCTTCTTCACAAGGGTAGTCGTAACTTCGTTGTAGACAAATTACCAAAAGACTGAACTGGGGACTATATTTATAAAAGCTGTGGCACGGAAGAGTTTATTCTCTTGGCTCCAGTAACTGAGATGTCCCCAAGGCATTAACACCTCAGGCGTGGGAATCCCATTACCCAGCCATGCCAGCAGGGGTTACCAACGTTAGGATTAGCTGCTACAACCAGAAGACCAGAAAACTGTCTTAACCACGTACAGATATTACATAGCTAACTGAGGTTTTCCCAGTATTCAGTCCCATATTTCTGAGGTTGAAATTTTTGAAGTAGAGCAGCTGCAAAGCTATTCATAAAAAAAAAAAAGAACACCCGAACCAAAAAACCCAAGCTCACAACACAACCCTTTGCCCTGAACTTGTGTGATAAATTGATTATGTATTTTTAATAATATTTGTGAAATCACAGGGTTGGAGGTTTATTCAGCTAAACAAGGGAATTAAACTGCTTTGTTTTAAATAGATCTTTGTTCTTTAATTTTCCATTACATGTAAAGGGTTTCACAATCATTCTGAAAATAAAATACCCATGTTAAATACTGCAATAAGTGTTTGGAAAGTCTGATAGTTAGAGAGGTGATAGAGATGTGAGGTAGAACATCATAAAGTGCAGCATTTGATTGAAAAAACAAACAAAATTCCCTAACCTGTAATTTCTTTGTTTTTGTGAAAGACTATTTCACCTTAAAGACTATTTCATTGCACTGTGCCTTCCCATGAAGACAGTGGTTGTTTAACGGGTCTGTGGTAGAGACAGCATGTGGTGTGAATTCTGAAAACAAGCCATGAGCTTCTCACTGTTCTCACAGGGATACTGGACTCTTGCTTATCTCTTCAAAATATGATTCTTGGAGCCAGGGGGGATAAATATAAATTACAAAATTATGGCCATTTATCTGTCACACCTTTCCTAAATCCTAAAGACTTTTCTTTAGCTGTAAAATCATAAAGTACACCTGATCATGTAAGTTTTCATTTATAAGTTCTTCCTTCCAAAGCCACCCACCTGAGACCTTGTGGATAAGAAGAAAAGAGACATTCAAAGTTTGCTTTTTTTGGCTATGTAACACTGCAAGAACAGCTCATAATCCAGAGAATAGAAGGGTTTCTCAGCTCTCTGAGCAGCTAAAATGAGACAAAATATATTCTATTATCCTGAACAAGAGATGTCTGTAAATTCTTGCTTGGTTGTATTGGATTATAAGTGCAACACTCTTAGAATATTGCACAGCTAGTAAAAACAATATATGGGAACAATTCAGTGGTGATTGTCAATGGTTTGTTACTGATGCAATGTTCTTACCCATGATATCACCTGAAGTTTTGTCTGTCCTGGGCCACATATAATATATCTTTGAGTTTAACTTCATTTATAATTTAATTGCACACTGGTTTTCCTGTATCAGGTAGGGGAAAAGGAAGGTAGATGGACCCTTCATCTCCTCTAAATGCTTTAACCTCCCCCTGCTGCCCCAGTGAGCTTTGAATGACCTCTTGGAAGTCAGGATTTGAGATACGAACCAGCAGTCCTGTTTCTAGACTTCCAACCACTCATGCAGGCAGTGCTTCAGCCACAACACAGACAGGTTAACTAAGTTTTTTTTTGGTCAGAAAAACTGCTATTGTGCCTTTTCTACCACATATTCCACCAACATCTGCCCATAAATTTTCTTCAAGAATTTGCATGACATAAGTGTAGTCAAAGATGATGCTCAGGTTCAGGAGTTCCAGGAGTTAATTTATGCTCCTCAACAGAATTTGAGAGTTTTGAAATGCTACACTTAAAACAGGCTATTTGACTCGGCTCTGATTGCTTCTACATGCTAGCTGTGCTCTGATTAAAGAGAAAAAATACAGCAGTTATCATGTTTATTGATATAAGCCAGATTTTTTTTAATACGCAAGGCCTTGGGAATCATTTTTCCTGGAAATAGTGCAAAGGACATTGGGAATGCCTTGGAGCGCCAAGAGTTTTTGGACGGTTTTCAGAAACAATAGCTCTTCGTGGTTTGCTTTCCCCCTGCGTTGATTGAGCTCAGCTTTTTGGCCTGCAAAGCATTTCGATTTCAGAAATGTTATTGTTACCAGCGTGTTACGACACAGAGGCTGGGGAGAGAGGGGTTACAAACGCAGGAGAGCAGGTTGCCAAGGGCCAGCTGGAAGCAGCAGAGCTGAGCAGAGCCCAGGCTGTTTCTGGTGAGGCAGTGGAAGGGCTGAGGCTTCGAAACTGGTGCTGTGCTTGCAAGGTTTGTGTCCCAGAAACACTCCAACTTCTGCATAAAATGAAGTCCCAGCATATCTCTGTTTGCTGTTTACTCTTCATGAGTTTCTTGTAAGGCTAAAAAAAGAAATACCCTTTCAAACACACTGAGAGGCAACTGTTCTTGTCCTGCTGCTATTTGTCTGCTACTCATTGTGGAGGACTTTAAAGTAATAACCTTTCATCCTTGCAACCTTTCTCACACCTTGTGAAAAGGGTAGGACATTAGGCAGCCAAAGAGCTGTGTGTCCATCAAGGTTGGGCTTCATTTGGCACAGGAAGACCTTGAGCAGTTCTCACCAGCTTTGGTGTGGTGGGAGGGGAAGAAGAAGATGGTGGTGTGATGCAGCCCATCCCTGCCACACACCGTGTGTTAGTTCTGGGGCTTGCCTGAACTATCCAGAAGATCCAAATAGCTGAGGAGACTGGAGAGTTCTGTGCTGCTGCTGAGAGGCTGGGAGCATGAAAACTCAGCCATGCATTTGGAGAGGGTGTGGAGAAGGGCACAGGCTATTTGGCTGAAAAAATAATTCCTTTCCTTAGAAAGAGGTGAAATGGAGCTTGTAAAACCAACAGAAAATCCCGCTATGTTTCTCTGGGAAAGGTATGTTTTTTTCCATTAAACAGAGAGTTTAAATATAATACTTCAATTTTCATTGTCTTTTTCTAAATGCAAGCATTCAGGATTTGGCAATCCATATTTTCAGTAAAAACGACAGGGATAGGTACTCTTATGTTCTTCATTTTTATGCATCTTTCTTCAGTTTTCTCCTGGTAGTTGCAGGGTGGAAATAATCTTGTGCAGTTCCACCAGGAAAGCATTTGGTGGTAGTGACTAAAGCTGTTGCCTCAGGGGAATGAAGCTGAAATAAATTTAAATTTATATACCAATTCCTGTCCTGTAAATTAACTTTTGATTTTGAACTATTGCCGTCCCAGTCTACATGTACTGAATGAACTCTGCATTCCCCATAGGTCAGTCAAAACCCAAAACCCTCAAAACTAAAAGCTCACCCTTATGAAGTATTAGGTGTCAGAGAAAATGTCACTAGGACATCCTTGAGGAAAATTGCTTCCACTAAGAAGTAGAATGGAATAATGTGGCTGCTTACGTTGGTATTTAGAACACTGAGTATTATTTTTTTTTCTCTGTAGAATGGAACAATTTGATTGCATCACTGATGGATATATTTGGCATCAAAACACAAATGTAAGAAAGCATTTATAAACTATTTTCTGGACTCATTACCTCAAGTCTTAAAGGAGCAAATGAGATGATAAAATGACTGATTAGCTATGTGAATAGAAATGGATTCTACAACTATAGCTGGCAGGATCATTCTTAGGTTAACAGTATTAAGGAGCCCCATAGCTAGCTATGCTTCCCTCAAGACACCCATGCTATCATGAATTCATAAAGTTTTAGTCCAATAAAAAAATTATGCACTGGGGAAAAAAGATGAAATGCATTGTGCATGCTTGAGGAGCAGAGCCTCTGCTCTTCTTTCTGCCCGGGGGGAACAGGGATGTTAATGAGGCCCTCAGTTGTGGCTGTGGACCCGAGAGGCAGCGAGAAGAAGGCTGCAGATCAGAGGCGTGATGCTCAGAGAGAGCAAGCAGCCTCTGTCAGCAGTGTGCCTCTGGGACAGGCCAGCTAGGAACAAATGGTAACCGCCTGAGCTAAATGGCAAAAATCTTTTTAGAAGCAGCAGTCTGGGGTGATCTGTATTTCCACTGCTAGAGCACACAAGTATGGGCATGCTGGGGAGGGTTTATTAAATCTAAAGAGTCAAAAGATCATATTTGTAGGCCTGAAGCTGTTGAAAAGCTTCAGTGATCAGACCCATCCCTTTCCATACTGAGAGGAGAGAGGTGGCTGTGGATGCACCCAGGTACAGGAATTGTGATGGGACCACTGCATTGCCTATGAAAGTAATAGCTTGGATACCATGAAGAATGTATTTACATACTGAATTATTTCCAGTCCAACAGTAAATTCCTGACAGCTGGAAGAAAATAGTGTCCAAGAGGATGAGTCGGTCACCAGATGGCTGGTTCTGCACCAGCGCAACAGCTGTCATCACAAACAGCACTGGAGTTAGCCACAAAGTCTGAGAAGAAGCCTTGATAAGAGGCCAGCCAGGAAGCAACCACAGGCACAGATGTTGCTGCTATAGCGGGCAGGGGAAGAAAATGACAATTCAAAGCTCGGCATCTGGGTTGTTACAGTGCCAAGAGTGCCAGTGAATGGCTATAAGGACTGTCTCTGTTGCTGGAGCAGGGTAACAAGAGCATAAACAACCACAAAATCCTAATTCTTTGAAAGAATAGGAGGTAGGTTTAAATCCCACCTGAGACTTCTGTTTATGTTCAGAGTAGCTGAAGTATGTACCCAGGAAATGGCTTTTGGAATAGCCATAGAGCAGCTTTGTCAGGCCTCCTTTTTTTGGCCCCCTCTTCCTCAATAAGACTTGAGCTCAACTGGCCTCCAATTTTTGTCCCGTGAATTGCTGTGAGCACTCCCACAGGGAGGTTTACTGCTTGAGGGGTGTGGTGGAAATGCAAAAGGAGGCAAACAGTGCCGGGATTCAGTCACGAAAACAAAAATGCATGCAGCACTTCCGTGGGACAAGGAGCAATTTTGCAGCTCAGGTGTGGGAGCCACCTGATTCCCCACCCTGTGGATGAGCTGGGGAATGAATGGCAGCAGCCCTGCCATCAGGGTCTTGTGCTGCTTCTTGTAATACATGCTCCACCATCTCTCTTAAATGCAGAGATTTAGAGCTGTATTTATAGAGCACTCTGAAGTATATACACAGCTGTAAAATTGCTGAGAAGACTTTTCCTGCCCCGGAGAGATTAAAAGCTCATTCTCACAGATAGGGTATGTGGAGTAAGACTGCAGGGCTGAATTGAGACATTCCTTGTGGGGAATTGGCACGGGATCGTTTCCTGGAGTGAAACGAGCCTCCAGGAACAAAGAGCAGGTGGCAGGGAAGTGTGGCTGCTCTCCTCTCCAGGGACCCGCTAACGAAAGGTATGCATAGGAAATCAAGATTTGAGCATAGCTGCACAAACCATTCACAGACACAGCGCGTGTGCTTGAACGGCTACCCCAGAGCTATCCAAAGTGGAGATCATTTTCTTCACTACTCTGATATTACTGCCTGAGCCAGTTACATCAGAGTACTCAGGCATGAACCATCCCCTGCAAGATAAAGTGGACAAGCCCCACAGGACTGAAAAGCCCATAGGGTGAGGAAGGTAACTGAGGAAGATAAGAGCGATGGAGATGAGGACTGGAGAAAAGGGCAAGCCTGGGAATTGAGAATAAGCTCCTAAATCACTGCAATCAGTGTCAAGCAAGCCTGAATATATGGATTTCATTTTTCTCTCCTAAATTGGACAAAAGCATCCTAATCTCCAATATTCAGGATGAGGTAGCAAAGCTTGGTGGCACATATGGTTATATTTCAGCTATTGAATAAACTCTAGAGAGGTTGGTCTATTCAGTGAGAATCTGGGGGAATGCAGAGATACTTGGCAATACCAGAGGATGGGGAAGTGCCTTTGGAGGTGTTTGTTGTGTCTTGTTCTATATCCACACCTTTCTGTAAGCGTCCTCTACTGCCCAGGATCAGATGTGGAATGGGGGAGTTTAATGCGATCTGGTATGATTTTTCATTCTGTATATGCTATTGTGAATGGAGACTTTTATAATATGCTCTCACCAGGGAAATGGGCACCTGACGGGCTTTAGACGTGGTCTAAGTTGTTTGCAGCTAAGTAACTTTTGCAGTTTTGGAGGCTATAATAACTTGACATAAGGCTAGTTAATGTTGAGGAACCAACAGTGATTTGCATCTGCTGATAAAATGATCGTTAATTTTTTAAATAAATTTCAAAATACTTTCTTTATCTGTTAGGCTGCAATGATACATTTACCAAACAGTAGGGCAAGGAGTAGGAAAAGGAGATAATGAATTTCCAACACATTGCAGAGAAGAAATATTGGCAAAATTTTTTTGAAGTAAAAATAATTTATTTCACCAAAGGCAAATAGTGTCTGAGCTTGAATGAAATATTGGACTTTTATTAAATATCTTTCACTGTGCTTTTATAAAACCTACTCATTAAGTGTAAGAGAACTGGCGCCTAGGTAGAGCATATTTTAGAAAATGGTGCAGAAGAACAGCACACAGATAACTGCTGATAAATGTTTAGAGAGAGTCTGGTGTGGAGCTGGATGCTTGGAGAAAAAACATGTATGGGTTAGCAAACGCTAGGCTCTGTCAAGAAGCAGCGCTGACCTCATGCAGCCTAAGTTAGCTCTCCTTTGCTGCTGGCTCCGTTCATGACCTGATGCTGTTTTCTTTACTGTCTGGCTATTGCTGGTATGTTTAATCAGAAGCAGCACAGGGCACCTCTGGAAGAATGCAAAAGAATAGAAAGAATGATGACAGTAACATTGAGAAACAGAGGCTGATGGGGATGAGGCAGAGATAACAGGCTGTACAACCTTTCAACTCAAAGTTCTAAGTTCAAATTTTGGGAAAGAGCACTAGGGACTTGCTGCAAGTTATTTATGCCTGGAAGCCTAGTTGACATGCACTTTTGTCTTGAAGATCCTCAATAGCTGCTATAGCTACTGGTGGGACACGAACACATGGGTAGATAAAAAGAGCAAGCCCTTCCGTATCCTGAGTTATGGTATCTTTAGGGAATGATGTGGAAACATAGTCATGGGGTCAGCTGTGGAAACCTGCACTGCACATGCTGTGATTATTCACTGGAAAACAGCACGTATAAGGCTCCAAGGCAAGCACAGCTTACAGATCACTGTAGACTGAAACCCTTCCACAGTATGTTGAGGACTTTAGTACTACTCTGCAAGTTAGACTCCTCTAGCCCTGCCACAAGGGGCAACTCTGCTCGAGGGACTACTTGCAAACCTTCTTTGCTACAAAATACACGTATTCCCAAGTCTATAATGCCTCTTGCATGGTGTGGATGGGATACCTCTTGAGCGATTTCTTGTGACCCTTTGAACAGTAACATAAATGATGGAAAGGATTTAGAAGAGTAAGGTAAATATTTATAAACTTGTGTTATAAATCAGTGCTCTTGTAACTTCTCCCACCCTCAAGACTGTACTTTCATGCAAGTGATAAATGACTTCATTGCTCAGCCTGGATTTTGGTGCAGTTGTCTACACAAGCTGTCTAAACAGAGGCAAGGAACCAGAGACCTTGGAAGCTCTGAGGTGATCTTGCGTAAGTTAGTGAAAAAATTGCTTAGCTTTCTTTCCATATGCGTGTTTCCACAAAAAAAAAAAAACCCAAAACAAAACCAACAAAAACAACTCTTTGGTTTTTCTCACTTGCAATATAGTTTCCAGTGATAGTTTTGTTGGGGAAATTAGACTGTAGTTTCTAAAGATGACCTCTTGTTTTCAAGTTTGGAATCAGAGTGGAATTAGTCCAGAGAAAGGGGAATGGACCATATCCTCTCAACTGGGCAACAGAACCAAAGATACTCACTGGTTCAGCCACAAAATTGTACAAGCGTATTGTAAAGTAGAAAAAATCCTGTGATAAGTAGAAGGGATGATTGTAGGGAACTATCTCAAGTTTAAACCAAGGCTTCCACTACAAGCGTGGCAGGCTTCAAATGCTCCCTTTTAACTGCCATTCATGTTGCTTCAAGGCACTAACAATTCTAAATCAGTATTTTGGTTGCATATCAGAATGCAGTGTCGCCGTAGAGACTGAGCCAAATCTTGGTCTTAGAATTAGATGAATATGCATATGTGTACAAGAGGAGGAAATATAGTTGATTTGATATTCCTCAGTGGGAGAAAGTTTAATAAACTTATTTGTATCTCCTCATCCTGCTTGTTGCAATGAACTTCAAATTCTTCTGTCTTTTCATCATAATAAAGTCACAGTATCCTCCTTTAGGTTTTTTTTTCCTGACACCTTCCCCTCCAAATTTTCATTAAATGGTATGAAGTGTTCCTTATGAGCCCATGGAAAGAGTTTTTTATAGGAATTTTGCAAGCACTCAGGTAACTAATGAGACACCTAAGGCTCTTGATGGAATTTCCTTTGCACCTATTGTAAGTTACATCCAAATGATCTGTCTATGGTTTAAGCAGTCTCTCTGAGTGGGCAGCAGGTAAATTGACCCATGCACAGCTCTATTTATTACCAAGATTCAGCTAGGATGAATTATACCTGAGGCAAATCACACCTCCCAAACTCTTTTAAAATAATTCTCACCTTTTCCACCCACAACAATTTTCTGCAATATTGCAAAATCCCCCTCAAATTTTTCCATGATGGTATATTTATTCTTCATGGGGTTGTCAAAAGTGACTTTCTGCATGAAAAGTCAGCTTTGACAGCCAGGCTGTAGCCTGGTTTGTCAGGGAAACGAGGGGTATGAGCTCATGCAGTTGGTCTGTCTGTCTCCCCCTAAGGACCACTGAACTGGTTGAGTGTGTGTGACCAGTTCTGGAGGGATACGAGCAGGAACCAATAGTCAGCTTTCCGACCATGAGCTGGGAATGCAGAAAATTACCTCAAGGGATAGATGGAACTGCAATCTGCAGGGAGCAGGAGGGAAGGTTGTGTGTACCATGTCAGTTGTGGCTGAGAGGATGGCAGATACAGCTTTCCTGGCAGAGCTACTTCTTAGACTTGACTCTTTCAGCTTAATGAAAGCTTTTCTCTTGAAGTGCTTTGCATGGGTTTCGCTTGTATTATGGAAACCAAGAAACCTCTCTAACCAGGCTGTCTTGCTTTACTGCCATTAACCAAGGAATTCTGTAGCTAGGAGTCATCTTTGCAGTGTTCTCTTTTATCACCAATCTTCATAAGTGGGCATAGCCCCTTGATCAAATCTAATCTTATTTCAACAGGTGAAAAAAGTAGTAAATGTGAAATAACTCTGCTGACACCAGTGGGATGAAACGTTAAATTGCTGTAAATATGAAGAGAATCAGAACTAGGAGGCTCGTTGCTAGTGTTGAACTTGTTTTACCCCATCTCGGATTATAAGGCCCCACAGTCTGTTCTTATAATACAGGTGGGTAAAGATTTTGGTTTGGAGGTATTTTTACTGAAAGGTTGGACATTCAAATTATGCAACTCTGATATACCAGTCCAGATTTCCAAGATTGAGAACAGCAGCTCATCTGGGGAACAATTTTTGGTGGCGTGTTGTAGCCTATGTAAAGTCCTATTTAACTCTTACCCGTGCTTTGCAAAGTCAAGAGCTTTCCTAGTTCTGAGCCTGTCTGCCAGCAGGTCTGCGCTCCTACCTGTTTGTGAGGATAAACATTAATGTGGCACTTGATACATTCTTGTCCCATGTTAGCCCAGGAGTTTCCACTCATCCATTTTCTCTTGCATTTGGGGCACTTATATTCACCAAAGCAGCGTTTCTTGCCCTGGTACGGAGTCAGACCTTCTCCTTTTGGACGAGCCTACAAAACAAAGGGAAGTAGCAATGAATGACTGATGTGTGGGGAAGTAGTAGAAAAGTAAAAAATTAAATTAGGAGACTTTGGGCAAAAGATACTGGAGGCAGACATGAAGGACATATCCCCTTCACAAAGAGTTTGTACATTGAAGCTAGAGTTTAACAGTTTTTAGAGTTACCTCTGTGAGAAGCATTTAAAAGTTCAAGATGACTTGCAAGACTTGTGACACTGAACACAATATTTAGAAATATGCCCGTGCCCTTTCTTGAATGAATAGTTTTAATATCCATTTCATTATGATAAGATCGTATCTATTGAGTACATATTGCTAATATTACATATAGCATCTGGAGAAGTAGCTCACTAGTAAAGACTATATTTCTTAACTAAATCCTTGTCTATTCCCCACTAGAACCTATCATTAAGAAAACTTCTTATAGTACAGCTTGACACAGCCTCTAAACAATGAAATATTGGCAATTTGTTAGTATGTGGATACACATCACTATATGGGAGTGTGCAAAATGGGATTGAGTATGACAAGACATGCTTTTGATTAATGGAAATCATTAATTTCATGAACTTCATTTGGTTTCTTGCTCTTGGTAAATGGTTTCACTGATTTCTACATCTTGAAGGAAATAGGAAGGGATTCTCAAAGGGACTGTTGTGATGTCTAAATGTTAAATGTCCCCTAAAGAAAGCCTTATCTAGGGAAGCTAGTAGAGTAGACAATGACTGTGTGCAAATACCACTTATATTTTTTTCTAAATATGTTCACTAAAACTGTCTTGTGCTTCACAAAAGGATAGTAAGGTACATAATATGTGAAGGTGAAAATGACATTATTGTGTACAGCTGTCCTGAAGGTAGCTGCAAAGATGAAGCCATTTTCCAAGAGTCTCTATCAGGTGTTGAAAATACTGCCCATGTGTTCACTGTATTTTGTTTATTGTTGCCTAGAGGGAGATACTCTGTCTGTATAGTGCCAGAATGGTATCATCACCTACCAAAGGATTCTTTGTTATGCCTCTGTGGCCTTTTTTTTTTTTTTTAAGGTTCCCAGATGAAGTTTACAAAAGTTAAATGACCCAGCATGCTGGGAAAGGGTTTGTTTTTGTTTCGGGAGCTTGTACGATTTCTCAGTGTGTACGTCCAATTTGCTCTCTATGTGAACACATGGGTTGAACAAGCAGGTGGTTGGCAGAAGACCTGAGCTTGGCAGGAGCTCTGAGACTCAGGCTCCCATGGCTGATGGAGATGTACTCTGTGTTACCTCCAGGGTCGCACATGGGAGCAAGTGGGACAGGAACATTGAGTACGTTCCACCCCCCACGCTGGCAGGTGGAAGAGGAGCTCAAGGACTCCAAACCTACTCTGTCCATTTTTTTTTTTTTTCTTTTTTTCTGTAGTGTCAATAAACAGCATTCTCTATTTTTCATGCTTGTTCCTCAACATAGCAATATTCTTCTTTAAAAGATCAGCTGCAGTAGCAAACTCTGTTACAAATAGGCAAACATCTATTATAACTTGCTTCACGACATTCTATCTGATAAGCCACTGTAAATATTCTGGCTTAGAGCAAAGATCAAGCTGACACTGGGACACATATTTACAGAAGTATTGCACTAAAGAAAAAACAGTGTTCATTGGCATAATGAGAAACATTTGGACTTTCATGACTAAATGAGTGCTGGCAGGCACCCAGAGTGTAATCTTCTGATCCATGGTGTCCCTTGATAAGGATGGGAGATTGCAACTAAATGTAGGGCAGGAAAATGTCAATTTATGGAGACATCCTTATTTTGGACACTTAATTTGGCTCTGCCTCTGAGGAATTTGTTGCACAGCTCAAGTCAGTGTAACAAGGAACCACATGCTCTCTTCATTTAGAAATTCTCATGGAATTGAATAGGAACCCTGTGTACAGAGAGCTACCATGGTTGAGAGATGTGCCCCCTCCTCCTGAGGTGTCACAGATTGCTTTATTTGTAGTTTCAATTGGGGCTATGTTATTGAACAGAAGGTGAGTTATTTCTGATTCTCAGTTTTAGTGGCACTCAAACTCCTCCTGCAGACATGGAAATGCAGTTTCATTACCCCTACTAAGAAGCAATCCTTTCAGAAAATGTGCAGGTCACTGAGTGCATTATTTCCAAAAGTAATAGCACTGACTTTGGAGACAGAGCGTGTTTGAGAAGTCTTGTAAATGTTTACCAACAGTATTTAAACATAACACTCCCACTGCAAAATGTTATGCCAGCCATAAAGAGCATTTAAACATCAGACTCCCACAGCAATATGTTGTGCTAGCCATGATTCACGGAGAGGGGAAACTTTCAGAGACGGCTGCTTCGAGCAGGCAGACAACTGTAGGTTTCCCCAGGTCAGGTAGCTGACTTCAGAGACACCAATGCCCTGGAATGCTCTGCCCTCACAAATGCACAGGAGGGCACTGAAGATGCTAGTCAGTGAAGTCCTCTGTGTGTACAGCTGGGCATCACAAATGGAGGCCTTCCAAATTAGAAGCTACTTTTAAAATTTGGCTGCTTCAACTTGCTCAGTAAATCACAAGCAGAACCAGGAAAAGATCGTAGGAGCCCTGACTCCGGCGGTAATTTCCTGTTATAATTGCTAGACTAAACTTCTGATTTATTTTTATTTTAACTTTTCAGCTGTCGCAGCTCCCTCCTCAGTCAGTGACTTTAATTAGTTTGCTGGCAAAGCTACAACATTCTCTGTAGGTGTTTCGCTATTCTGCTTTATGGATGTTTATACTTTGCCCTAACAGATATTATTTTCCCTCCCATATCTTCAGTTTCCCAAACTGTGCCCCACAGGGAATTTGGATTCTCAAACAAACAAGCTCATTTTCTCTAGTGAGAAACATCATTAGGAAGCACTGACAGCAGCGAAGGCAACTCTCCAGCCCCCTCCATTCTTCAGGTCCAAACCAAACAGAAATTTGACAGTATTTAGTGGAAGGTAAAACCTGAGCGAGATACACTAATGGCCTGAGAGTTCTGAGGCTGAGTGTTATCTTTTTTTTTTAATTTTTTTTAATAGTGTTTGCAGCTTAAGCAGCAGCACAGTTGTCTTGCATAAACACTTCCAGAGAGAGCCTGCTCCTTGGAGCAGAAGCAGCCAGCCCTGCCTGGCAGGGTGCTTGAGCACCCACTCCCTCTGCAGCAGAGGTGTCTCAATCATCATCCAGCTGGAGGGCAAAAACTCTTTTCATCAAAGCTTTTTCTTAACTAAGTACCAAAAAAGAGCAAGAAGACACGTTTTGCCTTTTGGTATTAACCTAATGACTCTTATTTTAGAAAATGTAGGATTTACCTTGTTTACGCTATTAACCTCCTATTCCCTGCCCACCCCAGCTGGACCTGAACGGTATTTAACAGTAGACTTTGGTGAGATTTCCTCACTGGGCATTGTCTTTCCTCATTCTTTCTGCAGATAGGGATTTATTTATCTTCTGAGTTAACCTGGTGAAGTTATGCCCCTGTTCATAATGACGAAATCTTTAGTTGTTACCATGTTAACATATGTTGTCCCATTGCCTTTAGGCCCAGGTAGTCTTTGGCCTGGTTTCTACCCTTGGTTGCAAAAGCTTGGTGGAACCTATATTTTACCATATTCGACATAATATTCAAACTAGGTTACAAACCACAATATGAACACAGTTTTTTATATTTTCAACATTGTTTTTGTTAGGGGAGTTGACAATTTTATGTTTTAAATGCTGATTTGACAGGGTTACCCTGTAAAACCAAAGCACCCAGTGTTTCTCCAGCGATGTGATTGTACAGCTCTCCAACAGCTATATACATCTTAATTCAGACATTTCCAAAATTATTTAATGCTTCCAGGACAGGTAGGCCTTTGGGAATGATCGAAACCAAACATATTTTTTGAGAAGGGCCAGAAACTAGCTATTACTTGAAGTATGTCTCAATGTCCAGACCTAGGCCTCCGTAACAGATTCTTTGTGCAGCTGTGACTTTGGAAATCAGCAGGGGATTTGCAGAAGGGAGAGCCTTCCTTCCCCAAGGTACTCCTGGGGTGGGAGCTGTGGTGGCCCAGAGCCCCGTCCCTCCTGGTGGCCCTCAGGCAGAAATTGAAACCAGTCTTGGAGGGGTGGTGTTAGTGCTGGGGCTGAGGGGGGGTCCCTCTGGCCTTGAATTCAGGAAGCAGCACAGATTCTGTAAAAGCCCTCACCCTTGTCCCTAGCCCTCTGTCCACTAGCAGCTGGCCAAGTGAAAGGATATTGCCCTCTGATTCATGAGATGGTGATACATCACCTTGGTCTTCCAGACAAATGCTAAGACAAATGAAACCATCTCGGCAGGTTTACCTAAGCCAGTGCCCGTGTTCACCTCAGCTAGATCCAACCTGCATACAAACCCAGTATTTTTTGTGTGGCACGGCAACAAAAATGACGTCGATATTCCAACCTTCACTGACACCCAGCTGCCTCTATTTTTCATGCTCTTCCTTTCTTCAGCCAAAACCACAAATTGGCCGTAATAAGCTTTTAAAAGTGTTTAAGTTGAGCTTTTGTGCTGGTGAGTGGCCAGCCAAGCTCTCTCACAACCTATCAGATTGTGCATCTCATTGGGGAATCTGCCAAATCACTTGGCAGTGACGGACATAGTAAAGGACTCTTTGCTTTCCCCAGACAATTCTCTCAAAGTATCAGTTTGCACAGTCAGCAGAAACAAAACCAACCCCCGCCACATGCCCTGGTTAAAACTAGGTTCATGATAAACAACAACAGGCAGAGTTCACTCAAAGTGAAATGCAGAGGAACGCTCTTCCCCTAATCTTCCCCCGTGTTTGTATTACACAGCTGAAAGGTGTTACAGCACAGAGGGAAGATGAAGTCAGTATGGCACTGGTAGGTGGGTCCCCTTCCTAGAATTCTGTCAGGGTGTCCTTGTAAGGATGCTTCATAAAATAAAGTAGAAAAGCAATAATAATGGCAAAAATGGCTTGGTGCA